TAGAACTTGTCCGAGATCTTATCAATCCAATGATCACACCAAGTTTCATCAGAATCGGTTGAAAACTGTAGCTTCAATCCTGCTCACAAACTATTTTTAACAAATTTTGACGTGTGTTTACAAAGTCAAGGGCAATAACTCAAAAACCGTTCATCGAAAATGCGTCAAGTTAGAACTTGTCCGAGATCTTATCAATTCCAATGATCACACCAAGTTTCATCAGAATCGGTTGAAAACTGTAGCTTCAATCCTGCTCACGAACTATTTTTAACAAATTTCAACACTTTTTAACAAAGTCAAGGGCAATAACTCAAAAACTGTTCATCGAAAATGCGTCAAGTTAGAACTTGTCCGAGATCTTATCAATTCCAATGATCACACCAAGTTTCATCAGAATCGGATGAAAACTGTAGCTTCAATCCTGCTCACGAACAATTTTTAACAAATTTCGATGCGTTTTAACAAAGTCAAGGGCAATAACTCAAAAACTGTTCATCGAAAATGTGTCAAGTTAGAACTTGTCCGAGATCGTATCAATTCCAATGATCACACCAAGTTTCATCAGAATCCGTTGAAAACTGTAGCTTCAATCCTGCTCACGAACTATTTTTAACAAATTTTGACACGTTTTAACAAAGTCAAGGGCAATAACTCAAAAACAGTTCATCGAAAATGCGTCAAGTTAGAACTTGTCTGAGATCTTATCAATTCCAATGATCTCACCAAGTTTCATCAGAATCGGTTGAAAACTGTAGCTTCAATACTGCTCACGAACTATTTTTAACAAATTTTGACGCGTTTTAACAAAGTCAAGGGCAATAACTCAAAAACCGTTCATCGAAAATGCGTCAAGTTAGAACTTGTCCGAGATCTTATCAATTCCAATGATCTCACCAAGTTTCATCAGAATCGGATGAAAACTGTAGCCTCAATCCTGCTCACGAACAATTTTTAACAAATTTCAAGGCGTTCTAAGTCAAGGGCAATATCTCAAAAACCGTTCATGAAAATATGTCAAATTCCAACTTGACCGAGATCTTATCAATCTAAAGCATCACACCAAGTTTTATCAAAATCAGATAAAAACTGTAGTCTCTATAGTGCTCACAAGAAATGTTGACGGAACGACGGACCGACGGACAGGGGCGACGACAATATATGACCACATATTCATGTGGGCGTACCTAACTAAAGAGGCTATATGAAAAAAAAAGCTAGAAAAAAAAAATAATCTTGTCGAAACGTTGTGTTTAAGAAATAAAGTGATTGTTATCCATAAAGACATAATAAATAAGTTTAATAAGACTGCCCAGGCTTTTCCAAATAAAAGATTATAAAAGACATAATTACCGTAGTTTTGATTCTTGATAAAATAAAGCCGCTCCCTCTGAAGAACCTGTTTTTGGTTTAAAAATTCCTTTAAATCCTAGAACACTTAATGCTGGTACTAACTGATAATCAAAACATTTGGCGTCAACTTCTTGTAAACATATCACATCTCCATTGTACCCTGGAATTATATCATGTTTACAATGTTTACAAAGAAAGAATGAACCACTTTTTACAAGGATAACAACTTAGATTTATAATGATCCTGTCTACCAGCTGGGTCTTGTCTAAACCTTATAGCATTGATCTTTCCTAAATTATCTGTATTCATTTACAGCTAGTTCTGCATGAATAATAGGGAAATATGACTTATTTAAGGTCACCAAATGACCAAAATTAGAACCTACGACCACCATTTGTTTGACATAATGAAGCAAAGGACATCATGCAACAGATTCCAATGCTCTAACCAACTGCACTACAGACTGTCTTGGTGTTCTGTCTTTGGACTCACTTTCCTTCTAAATTAATTTCATTCTTTGTAAAAAAATATATTCATTTGATAGCTTACCAACTAATTCTTTTAAAATAAGATGTTTTCTGTAGTCGTATTTGAGAGCGTAAGGTGGACAGTAGGGAAACAGAACAGTTTTTGTGTATTCTGTATCAGCATACACATCTGCTAGTATATTATAACAAACCACTCGTAAACTGAAATAGATAGATAATAACAACAATTCTTTATGATCCTTTATAGTTATACAACAACTATTCTTTTGAGTCATTAAACCTTATTCACGTGTCATCCCTGTTGAATCTAGAACGAGGCTCATAACGCAAACAAACAAGATAACAGTGTGTCAGTGCAGTAAAATCACCACCTTGACATCTTTAAAGTCTCCTTCTCCAAACCTAGTAACTCAAAACTAATCATATTTTACATTATTATGATTGGAATTCATTAAGTTTCTTAATGATACTTTCAGATGAAGTTTACCTTCACTCATGTATGAGAAAAGGGAAAGCTCTGTGTTGAGCAAGTGTTTAATGACATCAAATAGGCTATTCACTCACATGACGTCACTATCTCGGTGGGTTCGTTTTGCGAACTTGACATTTATTTTCTTCCAGATTTGACCATAAAACTAGTTTTGATTTTCCCAACAGGTCCAAATTATAAATAAAAAGAAAATCGATGCGGGACAATAGATTAAAATATTTCGTTTCATATGAAACAAATGGCCATTCCGGATTGTATTAGAAATCTTTAGTTTCGTTTTACAAGTCGTTTTTGTGCAGTAGGGCACGATGCGGCAAGTTGGACAATGCTGCAAAACAAACCCACCATCACTATCTTATAAATGGAAGACGTAATTTGAGTCATGAACCTCGCTTTCAGCATCAAAAATAGACAATTGACACTTCGTCATTACTTCAGTGGCCGGCCAATTTTTGTGGCCGATGGATACACTAATTTTTTGGATTGATTGTAATTGTTGTAATTAAATCAAAAAACGAAAAATTTGTAATTCATTTCATTATTCAAATAAAGCCTCTAAAGGCGTGTAATGAATAGAATCATTACTTAGTTCTCAACATTTCTTTCGCCAGTGACGGATAGCCAATATGGATAATGAAGAATGACCAATTTTTTCCTATGGTCTCCTTTGGAATTATAAATGCAATTGTTGGTGCCATTAAGGTCCTGAGATGCCAATCTAACATATTAAGGTGTACAATGGGGAGAAATGCTCTTTATTCCTATAATTTCTAAAATATGGCCAGTGACGATTATCCAATATAGCGGACTGGCCAGTCAAAGACGAAGCCCCTACATGGCCAATTTTTTCACAGTCCACAGTAATGGGGCTGGGGCAGATTTTTGGATGGCATTGGCACAAACTCAATCACATGGTTTCCCTCCGACCTGTGAATATCTCTAAAATTCCAAAATAATGGTATTTTCATGCCTAACTGTGTTACTGGCCAGTCAATGACTAAGCCTATACATGGCCAATTTTTGACATATGGCCAATTTTTTCCTATGGTTTGCGAAGGAAATATGAATGACATTTTTGGTGCCAGTGAGGTCCTGAATTGCCAATCTGACATATTTAGGTTTACAATGGGGAGAAATGCTCTTTATTCCTATAATTTCTCAAATATGGCCAGTGACGAATATCCAATATAGCGGACTGGCCAGTCAAAGACGAAGCCCCTACATGGCTAATTTTTGCACAGTCCACAGTAATGGGGGTGGGGCAGATTTTTGGATGGAATTGCCACAAACTCAATCACATGGTGCCTTCCGACCTGTGAATATCTTTAAAATTCCAAAATAATGGTATTTTCATGCCTAACACTGTCACTGGCCAGTCAATAACGAAGCCCCTACATGGCCAATTTTTGATAAATGGCCAATTTTTTCCAATGGTCTGCTATGGAATTTTGAATGATATTTTTGGTGCCAGTGAGGAGCTGAGATGCCAATCTGACATATATAGGTTTACAATAGGGAGAAATGCTCTTTATTCCTATAATTTCTCAAATATGGCCAGTGACGAATATCCAATATGGCGGACTGGCCAGTCAAAGACGAAGCCCCTACATGGCCAATTTTTGCACAGTCCAAAGTAATGGGGGTGGGGCAGATTTTTGGATGGAATTGGCACAAACTCAATCACAAAGTGCCTTGCGAACTGTGAATATCTCTAAAATTCCAAAATAATGGTATTTTCATGCCTAATTCTGTCAATGGCCAGGCAATGACGAAGCACCTACATGGCCAATTTTTGATATATGGCCAATTTTTTCCTATGGTCTGCTATGGAATTATGAATGATATTTTTGGTGCCAGTGAGGTCCTGAAATGCCAATCTGACATATATAGGTTTACAATGGGGAAAAATGCTCTTTATAATTTCTCAAATATGGCCAGTGACGAATATCCAATATGGCGGACTGGCCAGTGAAAGACGAAGCCCTTACATGGCCAATTTTTGCACAGTCCACAGTAATGGGGGTGGGGCAAACTTTTGGATGGAATTGGCACAAACTTAATCACATAGTGTCTTCAGATCTTTAAATATATCCAAATTTCCAACATAATGGTATTTCCATGCCTAACTGTGTTACTGGCCAGTCAATGACGAAGCCTATACATGGCCAATTTTTGATAAATTTCCGATGGTTTACTTAGGAATTATGAAGAAAGTTTTTGATGCCAGAGTGGTCCTAAGATGCCAATCTAGCATATTTAAGTGTACAATGCGGAAAAATGCTGTTTATTCCTATTATCTCTCAAATATGGCCAGTGATGGATATCCAATATGGCGGACTGGCCAGTCAAAGACGAAGCCCCTACATGGCCAATTTTTGCACAGTCCACAGTAATGGGGCTGGGGCAGATTTTTGAATGGAATTGGCACAAACTCAATCTCATAGTTCTTTCAGACCTGTGAATATCTTTAAAATTCCAACATAATTGTATTTTCATGCCTAACTTTGTTACTGGCCAGTCAATAACGAAGCCCCTACATGGCCAATTTTTGATAAATAGTAAATTTTTTCCTATGGTCTGCTATGGAATTATGAATGATAATTCCATCCAAAAATCTGTCATATTGGATATCAATCACTGGCCATATTTTAGAAATTATAGGAATAAAGAGCATTTCTCCCCATTGTACACTTTGATATGTTAGATTGGCATCTCAGGACCTCACTGGCACCAAAAATGTCATTCATAATTCCATAGCAGACCATAGGAAAAAATTGGCCATTCATCAAAAACTGGCCATGTAGAGGCTTCGTCACTAACTGGCCAGTAACACAGTTACGCATGAAAATATCATTATATTGGAATTTTAGAGATATTCACAGGTCTGAAGGCACTATGTGATTGAGTTTGTGCCAATTCCATCCAAAAATCTGCCTCACCCCCATTACTGTGGACTGTGCAAAAATTGGCCATGTAGGGGCTTCGTCTTTAACTGGCCAGTCCGCCATATTGGATATTCGTCACTGGCCATATTGAGAAATTATAGGAATAAAGAGCATTTCTCCCCATTGTAAACCTAAATATGTTAGACTGGCATCTCAAGACATCACTGGCACCAAAAATGTCATTCATAATTCCATAGGAGACCATAAGAAAAAATGGACCATATTTCAAAAATTGGCCATGTAGGGGCTTCGTCACTGACTGGCCAGTAACACAGTTAAGCATGAAAATACCATTTGTTGGAATTATGGAGATATTCACAGGTCTGTAGGCACCATGTGATTGAGTTTGTGCCAATTCCTTCTAAAAATCTGCCCCACCCCCATTACTGTGGACTGTGCAAAAATTGGCCATGTAGGGACTTCGTCTTTGACTGGCCAGTCCGCCATATTGGATATTTGTCACTGGCCATATTTTAGAAATTATAGGAATAAAGAGCATTTCTCCCCATTGTACACCTAAATATGTTAGATTGGCCTCTCAGATCTTCACTGGCACCAAAAATATCATTCATAATTCCATAGCAGACCATCGGAAAAAATTGGCCATTTATCAAAAATTGGCCATGTAGGGGCTTCATCACTGACTGGCCAGTAACACAGTTACGCATGAAAATACCATTATTTTGGAATTTTAGAGATATTCACAGGTCGGAAGGCACCATGTGATTGACTTTGTGCCAATTCCATCCAAAAGTCTGCCCCACCCCCATTACTGTGGACTGTGCAAAAATTGGCCATGTAAGGGCTTCGTCTTTGACTGGCCAGTCCGCCATATTGGACAATCGTCACTGGCCATATTTGAGAAATTATAGGAATAAAGAGCATTTCTCCCCATTGTACACTTTGATATGTTAGATTGGCATCTCAGGACCTCACTGGCACCAAAAATGTCATTCATAATTCCATAGCAGACCATAGGAAAAAATTGGCCATATATAAAAAATTGGCCATGTAGGGGCTTTGTCATTGCCTGGCCAGTGACAGATTTAGGCATGAAAATACCTTTATGATGGAATTTTGGAGATATTCACAGGCCTGAAGGCGCTATGTGATTGAGTTTGTGCCAATTCCATTTAAAAATCTGCCCCACCCCCATTACTGTGGACTGTGCAAAAATTGGCCATGTAGGAGCTTCGTCTATCCATATTGGATATCCATCACTGGCCATATTGAGAAATTATAGGAATAAAGAGTTTTTCTCCCCATTGTACACCTAAATATGTTAGATTGGCATCTCAGCTCCTCACGGGCACCAAAAATTTCATTCATATTTCTATCTGAAAGAATTGGCCATATTTTAAAATATTTTAAACAGTTAACCATGAAAATTCCATTATATTGAATTTTTTTTTATATTAACGTTCCTGATAGCACCATCTTTATCTCAAGAATGTACTCTGAGCCTATGAGAGATTCTATTGTATAGAAAATATCGTTTTTTGTCATAATATTGTAATTCATAATTAAATTCTTTCCTTTGTACACAGCCACTGGCCGGCCATAAAAATTGGCCATTGGCCACAAAAATTGGCCAAAAAATTAGGGACGAAGCCCTAACTCAAAATAGAAGCGTTATTAAAATCCATAGCCAGACATCGTGAAAATAGTCATTTCTTTCCAATTCCTCAAGCTTCTTGTCCAAGAAGTTAAGAGTGTGTTTGTTTTTCGTTGCGAGTCAACAAATAACAGCTGATGAAAACTACAAAGTTTTCTAAATTTTTTACGTTTTTCGATACGATACGGTAGTTACTTAGTTTTATGAATTTATCAGATACCGATAATGAAAAGATTATGTTGTATAGGTATGACACCAGGTAAGTCCAACTAAGGAACATAATATACTCTTATTGACCGAGTTTGAGACTTTGATTTCTAAATTCATTATTAAAGCCATAATTATTTCACATGGCATTTTTTTTTTTTTATGGTAACTCAATTTGCAATTCATGAAGTACAGTAACGTGCCAAACAAAATAAGAATGAGATTGCTCAATCAACATGCCTAAAATTTATAACTCACCTTCCTTCAGCACTCTTATCCTTAGTATACAAATGTCGATTTTCAAACGGGCAAAGACCAGGGCCAGCTTCCACTTCAAACTTAGAAACAACATACATTTCACTACCTACTCTATTTCCATTCCTCGGAATTACTCCAATCCTTAATCTATAACCAATATCAGCATTGGTGGGTGTGTAGAAAAAACCTCGACTGACTTCTAAAGAACTTTTAGTAGGAAGATCATTGTTAGCTGCAGATGGTTTGGTTTCTCTATACCAAATAAACTCATTATCAGTTGAATTACTAAATTCTGTTTCAATTCTTGGGAATACTAAAAATCCAGACAACATACTTTTAGGTAAAATTAAAAGTTTAACAGTGGGTCTATTAATTTCTACTTGAAATTTGTCATCACCAATCACGAGGTCGACTCCAGTATTCCAAGCGTCGACGTTGGGAACATTTTCATCCAAAGTCTCTCCATTTCTCTGAAGAAAAACATGAATAGCTTTCTTTGGAGGAGGTCCTTCAGGTTCGCCTGTTCTTCTCTTTTTCTTTCTTGAAACGTTATTCAAAGTTTTTTCTATATTTGTTTGCAGACGGACTGTTGATTTCGTCCACTCTTCATCTTTTCGTCTTTCTAAATTGTAAGTTTTATTATTGTATCCGACATTTATCTGGATTTTGTCCTCGTAAGGAACAGACCGTACGTAAACGTGTGACATGCTGGTCAGTGTTACAGCTTGGTTTGAGAGTCTTCTACTCAATAAACGAGTAGAAAATGAAAATATAGCATTCATAGATGTCACATAGGATTGCTTTGGACATTTGAAATCTCAAACCGGATGTTGACATCCATAGAGGACTTTTTCCCCTTTTCAGTTGAAGAGCTTTTGAAATAATTATCTGCCCTTGACTTCAGACTACAGCGAAACTAAAGATGAATGTAGCAGAGCCGTCTGGAATGTAGTCTGTAGCTTAATTGTTTTTTTTCTGGGGTTTTTTGTAGTTACTTCGCTTTACATATGAGCTATCTCTGTTAGATTTGTACTGTTATGAATCCAGAAACAAACAAATTCTCCTGGAAAAAAACCAATGAAATTCGATTAACAACATTAAGATAGTGTGCAGTTTTTTCACAAACTTTCACAAGCTGATTCTTTGAAATTGAATGTGGCTATAATCCTTAGAAATAAAACCTATTTCAAATTTTTGATTAAATTGTTCAGTTACCTCTTTTCTTCTAACCCGAAGGTCCAGGATTCAATCCCAACATAGATTGAGTTAATGCTTTCTGATTTTTTGAAAGACATTGAAAGAGCGTCTAGTCTTACGGATAGGACAAAAAACCGAGGCCCCCTGTGTGTGTAATAGGGACACTGATAGTCTCAATTTGCACCATTCTAATTTTCAATCAGAGGTCTGTGGTTAATGCAATTCCACTAAAACTAAGTGTTTGAAGGGCCTTGTGTGATAAAGCACATTTTGCAGAAAGAGTCGTCCCCAATACATATAAAAAAAACTAGAAAACTTCTTTACTGTCACTCGAGTATGCTATATTAGAATACATGGTCATGGCATGTAGATAACTTTGACTGTATGCCTATATATGTTATGGTCTATATTTTCTGTAACCAAGGATGTTTTTGTATGCCTATGTTATCGTGTCTGACACACTGTCTATATTTTATGTAACCCAGGGTGTTTTTGTATGCCTATGTTATCGTGTCTCACAAACTGTCTATAATTTATGTAACCCAGGGTGTTTTTGTATGCCTATTTTATCGTGTCTGACACACCGTCTATATTCTATGTAACCAAGTTGTTTTCGTGTTGCATCTTGATAATTTTGCCTGTACATCCATCTTACCGTGTCGGAAACGTTGTCTACATTATGTGTATTTTATATAACTCAGGGAGGAAACTGGAAATAATTAAAAGTTTCCTTGATAAAATATTCTGAACAAATCACGTAGCTTATTGTCCTGAATGATTTCAATTTTTGAATCGCAGTTTAATGACCTGAACTAATTTTGTTATAAAAATGCTATTTGAATTATTATAGTAGGAGTGAGCTTTCTGCATTCCAGCCGATGAGACAAGGGTTCCATGTGCTCGAATTAAAGAAAAACATTACACCAAAATCTAGAGATATGTTTCCCTTGGACCTTGACTTAATTTTATTGTTATTTTATGTTAAAAGTAAAACGACTGCCATAATTAAGGCACAGTTTGATTATTTTTAGCAAGTTTCTTACACATCTTAAAATTTGAACTAAAAGTATCTTGCAGTTACTGTAATTGTCCAAACGCCATGACATGCCCGACCTTGATCCTTCTTCACGCCACAGAATACGCCACTGCCAGTGGATATACCCCCCCCCCCCCCTCCCCTCCCTCCTTTTATGAATCCTAGTAACGCCACTGCGACTGTCTGATCTCAAGATAATCTCTTCAGACTTAATAATTCGACCAGGTAGGAAATATAACAAGATCAAGTTTACCTGCTGGACATTGTACAACATATAAATATTTGATTGAAAAAACAATTGAAGACAAGGCTTCCTGATTACGCCCTCAGCTTAACTACTTATCATTAGGTTATTATCACGAATTAACGCCTATTTTATCATATTATTAAAACTTTTAATCCCCGATTACTTTTTAACACGCACTAGGGGTTTTCTAGCGAGTTGGGCTATTTATAGTAACAATCTGTGACGTCATGACCTCAGTGAGAGAACATCATTTGGTTGGACTGTTGGAAGATTTCAGTAGTGAATGTCAGTCAAGGAATACGTTTTAACATTATAGTGTCAGTCAACGGCGATTTTTACCTTTCAAATACGCGAATGTTACCCAAACTACACATGTTAGCATTGGAGTAGAATTGAAGAGACACATTTGTGTGAATTCTAGCCAAAATGTGGCTTGGATTATACCGAAATGTTTTGATTTTAGCAGTTTTTAGTTGGTATGTGACATTTGAATCTGCACTTGCAAACGAAGGTAAGGACTTTAAATTCGTTACCCAGTCAAGTTTTTTTTACCCCCAATTCATAAAACATACCTTGTTTCACACGGTTGGTATCAAACTTGTATGTTTGCATACAATCAATTACGAATAACTGTTATTCCGTGGAATATTGCAAATACTGTTATATATCGATAAGTTATTGCCCCCACGTGTGGATATAAAATGTTATTATAGAGGTATATTGGATAACGGTATGTGATATACAGTGTATACAAGAGTGGGCTATATATAACTACGTTTAAAACGTATGAATAAGTATTTTTAAAGGGATTATGATCATTCCAACACAACTATGCATACTGCTATAACAAAAGGTGTCTTGGATGATATTCTGTAATAATATAATACGTCCCTTGAACTTTTTTTTTCTTGGCACTTCCAATTTATATTTTGTGTTGTGTATGTTGAGCAGTTATGATGGTTGTGGCACCAGACAGGGTATGCTTATTCTTCTAGACACCTGATACTATTTTTCATTGTGAAATACTTACTCACTAAATACTGATATACTTCTTGATGTGAAAAAGCTACCAATGTTTCGCCAAAATGTTGTTTTGAGGTTTGGATTGTTATTACTTGGTTTATTTATGTTATTGAGGACTATTGTAACAGTGAAAATATTTTATTATTGTAATATACTCTTTAATCAAACCAACTGTTTTGCGTTGTTTTATTTTCAATATGCATTTATGTATAAAAGAGAATGTAAAGAGATTTTGTAATTTTTTAATGTTTATTGGGGACACTGAGGGCATCAATTTGCACCATTCCAGTTTTCAGTTAAACGATAGGTCCTTAGATTTAGTGGAATGGCAAGAACCAAAGATGTCTGATTGAAAATTGGAATGATGCAAATCAAGGCTATCAGTGTCCCTTAAAAAGTTATAAAACGTAACAGATTTGTCTTGGTGTGGAATTTTCTGTTCAATAATTGGATCTAAGCCCATTAATATTACATTTAAGAAATGATGGTCGTTGGTTCTAATTGCAATCGGCATGTAAAAGTCTGTTGAACTTGAATTAGTTATCTTTCCTCATAATTCCTGTTAACCCATCTGTATATCTCGACCGACAATCACAGAAAGATCAATGCTAAGAGTTTTTGTCAGCTGGTAAAAAGTATCCTGATTTATCCTCTTAAAAAAACATCCTAGTGAAAAATGGGTATTTGTTTTTTCTGTCTTTCATATGAGTTGTTATATAAGTAAAGTTTTTACTTTTGTATTCAATCACTGTTGTTAATTCATACTCATACACCCCTGTTAATTCATACTCATACACCCCTACTGTTAATATCTAGAGATAAATAGGGTGTTTAGTTATATAAAGATTTCACTGTGCTCTGTCATGCATGTATATATATTACCTTTCTAATCTAGAACATTTATAAAGAATAACAAGTGCTCATGCATTAAACATGAATGGACATATCTTTATAAGCTGTATGGGCTATATTGTATATAAGGATACATGTATTATGCTCTATTTTAAGAAAAGGGCTTGTTTGTATTTAAGGGGACAGTATGCAAAATTTTCGTACAGTATTTTTCTAACAGCTTCCAAAAAATCATATCGAAACTTAAAAAGTGTTGGTGTTAAAATATTACTTTCAGATACATGGAGAGACACATTTCTCTTGCTTTTGGTGTATAGTGGACACAAATTTGAGGAAAGCAGAATAGCCCTTTATAAAATATCTGGCCCTAAATAACTCAGTCGGTAGCAAGTTAGTTTGTCGTCTGCTAGGAGATGAGGTGCCCTAGGTTGAATCCTTTGGCAGGAAAAAAAATTCTGAAGCATGTTTCATTGCCTCTGGAAGTTGACATGGTGTCATACCTTCACACCCAAATACCTAAACAGTGACAATATCACATCTGTACTGGTATATATCATAAACAGTGACAATATCACATCTGTACTGGTATATATTATAAACAGTGACAATATCACACCTGTACTGGTATATATCATAAACAGTGACAATATCACATCTGTACTGGTATATATTATAAACAGTGACAATATCACACCTGTACTGGTATATATCATGTGATGAAAATATTCAACTTGTTCTCCAAGATTTGAATCAAAATGTGTCAATTCACACCTTATGCATTCAATTGTCATTCATCATGTACTCAATAGCACCTGTTTCATTCATTATAAACTGAATATTTACACTTGTCAGATCTGGAAGTATTTAACTTTTTATTTGACTGAATTTAAAACAGCAGGGGTTGTTATAAATTTTACCATTTGAGTAGAATTTATAGAAATATTACATGCTTGATAAAGAGTAAAAAAATATGATGTTTATTAGGATATATGGTTAAAGAGATTGTGAAGAGATTTTCTATATTTTTTAATCTAACATCAATTTCCAGTCAGATGCAAAGCATTGTATAATGGCACTATTTATTGCTAAAGCTGCTATATAGGTGTCTTAAAACATTTAGTTTAGTGGTATTGCAGGAACCAAAGACATCCGACTTAAATTGGAATGATGAAATCAATGCTAACAGTGTCCCCAATACACATACAAAGTTTAGAAAACCTCTTTACAATCCTTTTTATTGTAACATTTGTGAAATACTATTTTTTCTGGTAAAGCTTATTGGTGACCCAACATAAAATTATTGCTTTGTTGGTAGAAGACAAACTTAGATTATGTGAGTGGTATACTACCTCACAGAAAGACCAAAAGATTGAAATTTGTAAACTTAGCTCATCTTTGCTGATCAGTGGACATACCTGGTGTCAAAACTATACTACAGAATCTCTCTTTAATCACATAAATCCATAAAATTAAGTAAT